GTAGACTTTTATTTTTGTGCCTGTGTGAAATGCCACAGGAAAATGCTTGTCTCTGATGCAAATTCCATTTATTAATCAACAAACAATGTCTTTGAAAGTAAATAGTGATTCAGTTCATTTGGAGAAATAACTTGAACTTGATAGGCTTTGAGTACAGAGCATGAGCATGTCCTGTGAATCTTACACTGGTTATTCCCTGCTGTACAGCACAGCAGTAGACACTTCTATTCACAGAGCAGTAGACAGGGCACTGAACATGCACACAGGACATGAGGGGAACAGAACAGAGGAGCAATGGAGCCCGCTGTGCTTGAGTGAACCAAGCCTGAAAATATTGAACGTGGGAGGGAAGCCACTGGGGGGAAAAAGGCTCTGCTTCACATCTCTTCAGTGTCACATTTACTGGTATATCAGTCCACTTGGCTTGGAGACATTATGGTCTGAGGCTTTTGGTCAATCTCCAGTGAAGTTGTCTGTAATACCATGAAACAGAAATAACCAGGAGATAAAAGATTCTGTTAAAATGAGCAGTTCATCTTAAGAGTGATGCATTTTTACATCATAACATTTACAATAATCATATTCATGACTGTTTTGGTCATCTAAACATGAGTTGTGAAGACTATGGGCCATGCAGAGATCTTTCTTTTGAGGGTCAGGAAGTGACAAAAGCTTTTATCATGCATGCATGATAAATAAAGCAACAGTAGTCCTATCATGAACCTTATTAAAGATTTTATTCACGTATTTTGCAGCATATCATAAAGTTTATGACAAATGTACAGACCAAGATAAATAAATAAAATAGCATTGTCAATAATGTAATTCATAATTCAATATGAATACACAATTCAGTTGTTGTTATTCAGAGTGGATGTGACATAGTTCATTGTGGAAATATTTCTTTACGGTGGTGGTGATAGGAACCTGGGGCTGCAACATCTACAACACAAATATAGCATTTTATCTGGTATCCAAAATGAACCGTGAACCCACCATAGGTCCTAATGAATGTTTTTTTTACTGTAATGTTGATGGTTTTCTTTGGGGACTATATTGTCTTTTAACATCCTGCATGGACCTCTTTGCCAACAATGTATTTTTTGTTTAATGTTTTAGGCTGAAGTCTTATCTCAGAACTATCATAAAACAATGTCTGAGGCATCATAACATATTCATAGCCATTTCATGTAATAGGTTACTGAGATATAGCATTTAGAGGTATGCTTCCGATGTCTGGTTCCTGTCACCAACACTGTGAGCAATTCTGACTAGTAGGTTTCTCTAGAATGGATCATTTCACATCAAACTACCCTGAATGACTTTCATCTCAAGGGCCAGCATGAATGTCTTAAATTTACACAAGCAAGTTTATAACCCACATGATAAGCTAACTATCTAAGAGAGTAAAATTAACATGTTAATGTTGTTGGTAGGGGATTTATTATGGATTGTGTCTCTGGCAATTAAAATTTTTATGAGAGAAATTGAGACTGTTTTATGCTACAATTATTTTGCATATACAGAAAAAACACCCATATTTGACATATTTGAAAGTGATGTAATTTTGTTCATATTTCACACCAGTTAGGGCCACTGTGCCCTTTGTTAATTAAAAAAAAATCTTCTTCTTCTTCTTCTTCTTCTTATTATTATTATTATTATTACTTTTTAAAAATTATTTTAACAGGCACAGATGTGCCACCGCACATGCCATGAGTAGACCAAGGGCACATTGCAGAGTTGAAGTTGAAGCTCAGTTAGTCTGCAATAGAATACCCTTTCAGATCAGGCTGTTGTGGAATAAGCAGATGTATTGTGTACTAGGATGCAGGAGGGAGTAAACAAGATCATCAAATGCATGAGATGATGCACAGTCTGTTCCTTATAATCTGGATAATCTGAAGCTGATGGAAAGGCAATTTGAATTGTGAAGGTGCAGCTGGGGTTCAGAGGAGTAGACATGAAAAACTAGCTGAATGTGTGTGTTGCCTTAGAAAATGCACTTTCCTGGCATGCAATACAGTCAAAGCTTTGGTCTTAAGGTAAATATTTTAATGTGCTTTTCCATATATTTTCCATGTGTTAGTAATGTTAAATATTGCATATGGTTTTTGGATTGTTACAAGGTTGAGTGCATATGACAGTCTCATCACAAGTAATTGCTTAACTGCGTGCTTCAGTGTTATGAATGTAAATTATGCAAAGGACAAAGAGGATAAAACAATAAACTATAATAAAGTGTTATGTGATATAGTATGGAAACATACCTTTAGCCAGCACAGTGGAATTAAACCTGGCCATATTATGGGGGACAAAATCATACTTTAATGACAAGTATGACTAAAATCACCCCTGTTCCCTGCACAGTTACCATAAATTCCATGATCTCCAAAGGTTGGATCTAATGAAGCATTAGATGTCATTGTACCTTACATAATTTGTAACTTGGACTTATTAAGAACTGATTTTAATTTATTGTGACTGCGCCAAAACTAGCTGTTGATAAATGTATCCTGGGAGCACCTATTTAGTGTTGATGTGGCAAAGAGATTTGCCAAAATCATGCATAATAGTGACCAGTTAACCCCTGTGGTTCGTTTATTAGCCTCAATTTTGAATAATTTAACAGTAAAACAGATGAAAAAGTGTAAAACTGCTAAGCACACAGAAAATATGAACAAAAAAATTAAAAGCATTGACCCTGGATAATTGGCTGGAGCACCAAGATTGTGTTATAATGTCAAGGACTTGACCAAATTGTGCAGTGACTTCTAAATGCATTTAGTGTAAATGTGGCTGATGCCAAACTGTGACATTAGTATAATTTGTAGATTTTGTAGATAGGCCATTCTTGTGTACATGAACAAAGGAAAATAAATAATTTAATACATAGTCACCCAATTTAGGGGACCACAAAGAATGGGGCAGGTAACCTGGTTGTTCTTCTCGGTAGTTTCTTGCCAAGCTGTGTGTTGTTTTTCATGTACGAAAGATCAAGAGTTTGTGTAATTAAAGATCAAGAGTTGATTGTAGATTTGTCTCTGGAGTCTGTTGCTACTGTTTCTAAACATGAGGACCAAAGTATAGTGCCAGTAAAGCAGGTCAATGTGAGGCTGAAAATTGAGAATAAATCAATCAGAGACATAGCCAAAGCATTAGGTGTAGACCACATTAGTGGGTGACAGTAGTAAAGAAAAAAACATTGAACAGACCAAATACTACAAAGAGAAGAAAACAACAGCCTGACCTCAGAGGGTTTACCACAAACCACTGATAAGCCTCAAGAACTGAAATGCCAAGATGAAAGTGTGGTGAAAAAGGCATGCCCCGTGATCTGTTAGCTCAGAGTCCATCTAAATAACTACTAAGCTCTAAGCAACTGCCCCAAAACTCAATTCATTGACCCCAAATATGCTACTAAAGAATTTATGGTTTCTGAGGACCAAAAAGTGGTCAAAATGACTCAACTTTAAGTCCACTCACAGGTCCAGTCACAGGTTGAAAATGGCTGCATTACAGGCCATCAGCCAGGAAACACCCAGTGGGATCACAGATTGCCAGCAGTCATCAAATGTGAAGAATTTGCTAACACATACTAACCAGTGTAACAAAACGTTTATAAAGTGTGTTTATTTGTCCAAAGATTTAGGTAAAGTACTGTAATTGCTATATGGTTCACCCAAAACGCACGAAATGAGCTGACATATTTTGTACTTTATCCTCATAGCTTCAAGCTTTCTTGCTTAAAAACATATCAAGGGGTTGCTGTTGAATGTGCCATGTCATTATCCTTGACGCTGTTTTGAGAAGGCAACAAGGCGAAAGACCTGAAGCCTTAATGAAGAACCTAAAGTCTGTAACAACACGAACTTACCAGTCCATGCATCTTCACTGTCAGACACAACCGCACACGGAAGGCGGTGCTTAAACAGAGCACAGCGTGTCCTGGCCAGTCGCCATTCCAGAGCTGGCCATCAGGACAAATCATCAGTCTCTTTCTTTAGACACTCTCTTTAACTCCTTTTTTCCCAATATCCACTCAACCCTCATCATTTTGTCAAAACAACACATTTATCCAAGAAAACACGAGGGAGCAGCATCTTCACGCAGCAGTTCTCCTGCAGGACGGCGGCTGTTGTCCATGGTGCTGAACTGCGTCTACAGGACGCTGTTAATCTTTCATTTCTGACAGATTGAACGCTATTATTCTGAATCAGGAGCTTGGTTGCCTACACATAATACATCCCAGACTCATGACTCATGGAATTGGATAAATAAGAACTTTCTTAAAGATTTTCAACTCATTCATGTTTGGAGAGGCGTAACTGCTGTTTTACAAAATCAATACTTAACAAACGCAGTAGAACTGCTAGCCAGGTAAATGACGTGGCGATTTGATGCAGTGAATAAACAGAGTAAGCGTAAAACCTCATAATGTTCTAGTCCTGCTGTTCATGTCATTTCGTATCATGGCCAACTGATTATTTTTAGCACATAAAATATACGATTATACAATTATGGATTACCTACCCTATGTGCGTATGTATATATATATATATATATATATATATATATATATATATATATATATATATATATGCATCCCCTTTTCTAATAATGCATTAGATCATTGGTTAATTTATGATAGAACAGAACATTATTCTATACATTAAAACTCCATACAGGTTTTGACAGGTATTGTAAACACAGTTTATTATGTCATTTATTCTTCTTCTTTCTCCCTAACGGGCATAAAGATAAACCTGCTTGTTTGTACAGTAAGGCTGACCTACAGATAACTCTTCATGAAAGCTACTGAGCAAACAGCACCTGGCGAACAGTGCGTTTGACCTTGATGTGAATTGTGAAATTTTCACGGCTGCTTTTGTATGTAACACTGGCATATTTTATTCGGGTGTTCGGAATGGTTTAAAGGCAGATGCAAGGCCGAAAGAAAGAAAGAAATAGGCCGTGTTACTCATCTGTAGGACCAGTAATTCAGCACTCAGTGATTTATTTCTTGTCGGTATTCTCCAGTTTGCTCAGCAGTAACATAACAGCAATTTGACATTTTATTGAATGCAAAAGAACGACAATGCAACACTGACACAACATTGCAACCATGTTTTGTAGGCTACCGTTACACAGGAGGACACTCAACATCACCCAAGTTGCAGATCACGCAGCACTTTTTTTCTTGCACCATTTAGACGCTGCTTTAATCCTAGTTCTCAAAACGTTTCCTCTTGCTTTCAGGACGTGCAACATTTAAAGCTCACGAGTTTTTGGAAAGCCTTTTTGAAGTCGTCGTTTGCCATCGTGTATATGATGGGGTTGATGAGTGAGTTGAGGTAGCCAAGCCATGTGAAAAAGTCAAAGAGCTCTGGGTGCAAGGGGCAGGACGGGCACAGGGGCCCCAAGAGCGTGTAAATGAAAAAGGGCAGCCAGCAGACGATGTAGGCCCCTAAAATGATGCCCAGAGTTTTGGTCGCTTTTCTCTCACGCGCGGCGGAGATCCGCTTCTTCTCCAGCAGCGAGTCGGTCACGGTGATCTGCACGTGGCAGTCAGGGTCCGAGGCGCACTGCAGAGGAGCCGTGGAGGACGCGGAGCCCGGCGAGCTGGGCGCGAGGCGCGCCGCCGTCAGCCTTTTACCCGTCTTCTTGGGCGACTGCTTGAGGATGCGCCTCCGCGCCTCCACGTAGATCCTGCCGTAGAGCGCGACGAGCAGCAGCGTGGGCAGGTAGAAGGCGCCGAACGTGGAGTAGATGGTGTAGAAGACGTGGTCCGAGTTCACGGCGCAGCTGGTCACCTCGCCCGCCTTCACCTGGCGCCAAAAGAACGGGGGCACCGAGATTGACACGGCGATGACCCAGGCCGTGGCCACCATACCGGCCGCGCGCGTGACCGTGCGCCGCTTGGCGTAGCCCACCGCGTCCGTGATGGCCCAGTAGCGGTCCAGCGCGATGACGCACAGGTGCAGGATGGACGCGGTGCAACAGGTGATGTCCGACGACAGCCAAACGTCGCACGCCACCTGGCCCAGCGACCACGTGTGGCTCACCGTGTAGAGCGCGCTGATGGGCATCACCAGCACGGACACGAGCAGGTCGGTGACCGCGAGCGAGGCGATCAAGAAGTTGGCCGGCGTGTGGAGCTTCCTCGAGCGCGAGATGGTGGCGATGACAAACGCGTTGGACAATGCCGTGGCGAGCGTGATGAGGGCGAGCACGGAGGCTAGAGTGACCTGGAACGCGAGGCTCAGCTCTTTTTCGTCCACTTTGCTCGAGTGCGTGACGTTGGTGCCGTTGGTCGAGGCGTTCATCGCTGCCTGGACATGACTTGCTTGAGTTGGTTTGAAGTGACCGATGCGCTCCATGGCACGCGACAAGGGGTCACCGCGGTTTTTTTGTCCTCATTTCAGCACGCTGGGATTTCCTCTGCGGTGCCAAACTGTTTTCTTCGCTTCATGATTCGCCCTAGCTCCCAAAAAAGTCAGAAACGTCCCAGGCGGTTCTCCACCAAAATAGCTCTGCGTGTTTCAGAGGCACTGACATTGTTCACTTTCATCCTGCTCTCGCCTGACGCGCCGGTGAAGGAGAAAAGAGGAGGGGGGATTTAGAGAAGGTCTTCAAGTTCGTAAAGGCTGAGTTCTGTAAAGTAGGGTGATGGAAGAAGCGAAAAGTTGTGTGAACACAGTAGTCCAGCATCCATTCTCAGCGTTCTCTGTGATCCACTTTCAGAAGTGTCGTTTGTACTCCAGCCACTGGAGCAACAGCAAGTTTTATTGGTTTCACTGCTGCTCTACCTGCCTTTTTATAGCGGGCTCGGCTGGAAAACCGCCGGCTTTGATTATCATATCGGTGAGAGAGAAGGCAGAATGCTGGGTCTTAGTGTCCCTCCACCCCTGCGACTCGTCTAGAGTCTACTGCCTTCTTACAACAGATTTCAGACAGTCGTGGAATAGATACGATTTTTGGGGTTTGCTGAAAATTGACTTATGATTACAGTTTTCTGTAAATACACTCTCAGAAAAAAAAGGTACAAAACTGTCACTGCAGTACCCCTCTTGTCACTGGGGTGGTAGCCTCAAGGGTACATCTTACATAAATACCTTTAGTCAGAGAACATTATTGTACCATAATCCATGTATATATATATATATATATATATATATATATATATATATGTATATATGTATATAAAATTGAAATTATATATACTTAAGTTGTATTGACTCCACACACCCTGTCGCATAGTTTCTGAAAAGGTACAAATACATACTTTTCACCTGGGAAAAACTTATTTAAGGTGCACAATTGGACCTTAAAAACCACTGTACCCTTGAACATTTACATTGTTTGTAACTTGATAAGCAAAAAATGTACCTGCACAGAACCTTTATTTCTAACAGTGTAGGATTTCATAATAGTAAAGCCACTTTAAAAGCGACAGTGAGGTTCATAACAATAGCAACCCTAACACTGGAAGAAGAGTTGAGGAAAAAAGGTTTAATCAGTTTTTTTTTGTATTGTTCAAAAACAAGACAGTCCAAACTCAGTTTCACTCCAATTAAAATAGTTCTTTTTGGTATTTTTTAAGGTCTTTTTTGACAAATTGCACAGTGAATCTTCAGTCATTGCAAATACACCTTAAATCTGATGTAACCACAACTACTTGTTTGATAGTACTGATACAATTCTGACTATGATGCAGGAAGTGGTAGGCCTGCTTCTTAATGCTGATTCTGTAATTTTGTCTTTGTCCTGTGTTGAAAGCCATATACCCCCTCCCCACAAATTGAGTGGTCTGCCTGAATTTGTGTACCTTTCCCCAGAAACATATTTTCTTCACAGTTTTCAGTCCATTTTAGACAACAGATTTCTACCTTACTGTAGCTTTTTCCACTTTCCTTTTCATCTGTATCTTTTTTCCATTTTCCCTTTCATTTCTGTTCTTTCAAATGCCTTGATGAACAATGTGGCATTTGAGTATGCTGTCAGAGGCTTTTGTTGAAAATTGTTTAGTGTCTAGCTGTGGAACAAAACTGTAATTCAACTAATTTGCCTTGGGATAGCAACCACATCAGCAGATGTTGAGGCGAGTGATACCAATTTACTACTATTTGTTCTACCATTTGAAAGTTCATTGGCTTGCATGCCAGATGCTCATTTTGAAAGAGCAAACCCATTCTGTCAGAGTTAAAGCCATAAGATAGAAACCCAAAGATCCTATAAAACTATTGACTGTAAAAGACAGTGTCCAACTGGTTATGCGATGTTATGCAATATAGAATCTGTGAAGGAGGCTATATATGTGACCCACAGTTTAGGCTTGCCTGTATGATAGTCTAGACTAAACTATAGCAGACAGAATAGTTGCAGAGAAATGGTGTTATAGCAGAGAATTTCCTCTGATAATACACTTGAGCCCGAAACTTTAGCATAGAGTTCACAATGTTTTTTGATAAAATGTACACGCATGCAATCAAGTTCACATGGAGCGTTCCTCATCCATTTGACAAGCTTGTTAAAGCTTTATAGATAGCTTTATGAAATGGAGCTCTTTGCTATTGGTTGTAAAGTCAGGTGAAGAAAAAAGAAGCCTATAACTGTTTTTAACAGTCAACAGAAAAATACCATTTTTTACTCCTTTAAATGGAACAGACATCTACTTCACACTTCTATACCTTAAAGCACACAGAGCTTACATTTTTCTTTTGTTTATTTTTTTTCACTGATGACTGATGTTTATAACATATGTGTGAGATTATGTACCAAAAACAGTCATAATTCATTTTTTTATTACTATATTCCAACCTCTCTTTATCCCTTAGAATTAAACAGGCTGTTTTTGTCACAGTGTCATTAAGATTTACATAATTAAATGAGCTCTGTTCTGGTTGGATGCCCTGTATTATGCCTCATTAAAAAAGTCCAGGCTGAAACACTCCTTATAGCTTCAGCATGAATGGGCGATGCTAAACTTCTGTAGGCTGAATAGGCAGATATTTGTAAAGTTTTCGTGACATCATAAAAACACTAAATTTAAAGCATGCTGTTGTTGCAGCATAGTTTCCATATATGGGATGAGGAGTGAACAAAGTTCATATGTTTCAAAAAAGTGATGAAAATTTGTTTTTATATGATATAGAGAGTGACAGAGACAGTTTGCATTGCTTTCCATGTAGTTATTCTTCTTCAATAAGTTTTAGGACATAAAAAGCCTGGGATTTTTATGGGGTTAAAATATGGACCCAAAAGAATATTTCATTATCTAAAGGCTTCCATTTGACATCTAAGTGAAAGGAATCAGCTCTCTCTGTGTGCTGCCTCCTCACAGTACTCTCATTACTCTCAGTACCGTCCACTTTGAATTCCATATGCGCACGTTGACAGTTATCTCCATGTGCATGTGGACTCGATGCATATTAAACATGATGTTCAATTACTCTGGTGCACAGACATGGAGAACCCATATCTCTTTAAAAGGAACATTGGTGCTCTACCATGGCAAAAACCTCACACAGTCATATTACTCACCCAGTTTCCAGCTATGGGCTTGTGGTTTAGTTTGTGGTTAAAGGTGTGTCTGCTTGGACGATGTGTTAGATGCCGTTGTGTTAACTGCCTACTGCCACAGACTCCAAAAGTGGCGCAGAATGCAAATGAAGCTCACCATCTGGGCTGAGTGAATAGTTCTCTCCCGAGAGCGCCTTGCAGGTCAGCACACAACTAAGCAGTCTGATTCAGCCTCCTTCCATTCACAATACTGTACATCATAGTCACTTATGCACCCCCCCTTCACCATAATGCTATAGGCTATAAATCTTCCCCAGTGTAATTTGTTTGCCAAACTACTGTGGCTGTAATGGCATACTCAAAAGATTGAAATCATCACACAACCTGCAATCATGAGAACACCTACAGGGTCCAAAGAAATTCCATGCATAAAGCAATGAGGTTTGTCAACAGAAAAAAGAATAGTGGCTCTATATAAGGCAGTGGCAGGGTCACGAAGCAAATAACTCTAAATTAAAATGTCTAATTTAAGGCTCAGCTGAATGAACATTAACAGTTCAGTGATTCATTGCTATTAGTTTGTTTGGCAGGAAAGATAATAAAGATAAGTTGTTTTGTGAGCTTAAGAAAATGACTTTGTATTAATATACATTAATCTGTCCTGCCTCATGTTGGGCTGGTTTGTTTTTTGCCTGTGTGAAGCACATTAGATAGATTAGACCAACTGAAAACCACATAAGCATTGCAGCGCATGACCTCAGTTGTCAAATTTCACGTTTCCTGCAGAGTAGCTCCTATATTGATTTAAAATAGTCTAGACGCTGCCTCAGTGTATAGGATGTAATGTAAGCCATGTTAATATTGAAGTTGTCTGTGGTTAGTCTGCACTGTCTAAACGAGTCACTTAATAGGACTTCGAAAGTAAGCTGAAGGTGAGGCCGCCTTTGTCCAACTAGAGCTGAAGCATGTCCCAGTGGTCCAGCTACACTGGCCCATAAATCCCCACCGGCTCTGTGAGTTAGTTTACTCAGTAAAACACCCTATACCAATTAATTAATTCTGCAGGCATTAATGGGCACTGAAGCATGAGGAATATGTCCTCTGCATAATATACAATTAAGTTCGTTCAGTTTGTCTTAATTGAGGCAGTTGTGTCAGCGTGGTGGACAGGCCCTAATAACCGCTAAATACCAAACAATCTGCTCTCCCGTTCCTGCCGGGACAATGAATTTCAAAGGCTTTTTCCGCTCACTGAGGGCAGTTTTGCTCTGAAGTAGTGAATGAGGCAGCTAGACAGGGAATCGTTCTGACTGCAGATGTAATGGGACCCTACAGTAATACTCATTAGGATATCTGAAATGTACAAATTGGATGTTGAGGAGGAGGTCTAAGCTCCGTGACCGTTTTAAAAGGCCTTTAGCTGTCTGACCCGAGCACTTTCCTGAGGACTTAATCAAGCAGGCAGGCAGTGTTAGAGCACCCGTGCGTGAATGTGTTCCTGATGCAGATGAATGAAATGGGCCTGATTTAAGAGCGAGCAAGACTCAGGAGAGGATTAGAGGTGCTCTCCATGATACCTTGCTTAAGAGGAAATATTTATTCATGCAGTTTCTATGATTTGGATGTAGGTTATTACCGTTTGGCCCTCAAGCCATCAGCGATAAATGTAAGAGTTTCAGTCACGTATTCCTCTCAGAAGTATGGGGTGTGACGTTCAGCATACTTTGACTGCACAGAGCCTTTTCTGAAGAGGCTGAGGTCACTTTGTCTGAAGTGGCTGTTGACCAAAGACCACATGCTGACATGGCTGACTTGGCAGTGTAAATAAAACTCTATGAACCATGCAGCGATGCAAATGAGATGAATGTCAAAGAGAAGTCTGAGGAAGCGCACTATTTTCCAGTTATTCAGGTTGACTGAACAGTTCGTGTAAGTCACTTTATTAAGGTATGCCTGGTTAATCAGATGTAGTGTTTATAGATTGAATGCATGTAATGTTTAATATACAGGGTGAATCAAAGCACATGAGTATCTGTGCGATGCTTAATGTTAGATTGACATTATCATTACTTTTATGTACAGTACTGTCAGAAATCACTCTTCATTCATTTAATTTCTTGTTAAAATGGCTATGTAGCAGGTTATTCATTAGATATTCAGGAGAGGAAGGTGGGTGGCAAAGGAACATGAGTGAAAAACTGGAGTTCAAAAAATGATCAAAAGA